ATTAAATTCATTTAATAGTCAAATATTCAGATTTTCTATTTCCTCTTTTGTCCATTTTAGTCATTTTTGTCATCTTAGTCCTCTGAATCTGTCAGAAGCTCTGCTCATCTTCTTATCCTCCTCTTTTCCATCCAGCCTCCTCTTCTGGAATGGACAATTCACTTCTAGGAAAAAGTAGCCCAAATGCCAGGATCACATTTTCTGGGTTAGTTTCTGCTTCCACATCTTGGCCCCAAAAATCTTCACTGCCCTGGTAACTTCTCTGATACAGTAAAACAAATTTTGTATTTTGCAGTTTTTCTAGGTATTCTCTGTAGAGGGTTGTTCCACATTACCCTGTCTGCCACTTTGTGGGAAGCAAAACTCTTTGAACTATTTTGCAATCGGCAATTTTCAAAATAACTGTCACAAACACTGCTATATCCCTTTAACAGGCCTTTATAATTCTAAATGTCTACCATTATGTCCATAGACAAAATTGCCAGATTCTGCTAATATCTTTTTATACTTCCTATTCCAGTCATTGCTTTATAAATGGCTTTCTACCCTAGATTTTGATTCCTCATTTTTTAACAGCAAAATCTTACTTCCTTGATAACTCACAAACTACAGTGGATTTACAAATGCCCTAAACCATACTTTATAAGCCACTCCTGTCCAACCTACTTTTTGATTCATACTTTTCTTAAAGATGAAGTTATTAAAGGTAAGATGCATAAAAAAAGTCAAAACTCATATAAATAGGGGCTTATAAATTAGAAAAAGCAAAACAAACAGGTCTTTGTAAGACAAAAGTTGAATAGTGAAATAAACTAGTTCAGTTCTGACTGAGTCTTGATTTGTATCCATACTATAGCAAAATCATTAGATTAATACACTCTGGGACAAGTTCAAACATTCTGTTCTGGCTCTTTAAGAGATATTCAGTTAGACAGAGAGTTGATTAGGGAATGGTAGGGTCTTTCTCCCCACTTGTCCATTACTCTTGGCCCCCATCTTAGTTTCTGTCTACACTGTGCAAATCTTACTAGCCTCATGAAATAATTTAAATTCTTAAGTAACAGATGTATGCCTAATACATAATGCATTTTGATTACCAGTCTCAATCCTGACTTCTTTATTTTAAAAAATGTTTACACTTAGAGCACATAAAATATACTGAAAAAGTTTCATTGCCAACTGAATATAGACTATATCCTTCAACATTCAAGAAGGAGACAGCTATGCCTACAATGAGTATTTAAATACATTAAGATTAAGGACCAAGAATACTATTTTTAAATAATTTATATATTTTCTCCATAAAACTAAATTTTATTATTAAAATAATCTTAAGGGAAGAATCAAACTGTAAAAAGGTATGGGAATATACCACATGTAAATTGTGGGCTTGGGAGTGATAGGAGGAATACTTAAAAATGACAAAAAAGAGAGAAACTGCCACTTGTAAGACATCGTCAGCATTACAGGTAGTGAAGACCACAGAGAACTTTGAGTTGGATTCTCAATACTTCATTTGTTTATTGAACATCTACTAGATCCCTTGCAGCATATTAGGCAATGGAGTAGAAAGATGCTGTGACTCCTGTAATATCTGTTTCATTAAAGCATTCACAGTCTATCAGAGACCTCACTACTGTGAAGGGAGAAGACAGGAAAATAATTATGAAACAAGTACTCTAAAAAAGTATGTATAATAGAACACAATGGGGAAAGATATTTTAACACATAAAAGAGAGAGGAAAAGCATTATGTACTGTTCAGGAAATTCAGACAGTAAACACTGCATATGTTGGCATAAAGGTTGCATGTGATCCAATGGCAAAGAGATAAAAAACTAAATCGTGTCAACTCATAAAGGAGTTTTATGTATCATTCTAAAGAATCTGATCTAAAAGGTAAGCTGGGAATAAAAATGACCTTTGCCTTTGACAAAGATCAGTCTAGTGACAGTGAAGAAGGTGGATGAGAAAGGAAGGCTAAAGCAAACGACTACTGAAGTAGTTCAGACATGCGGTGGTAAAAGGCTGAAATGGGGCAATGGTAAATATACAGAGTAAATTTAAGAACAGTTGAAATGCAGACTTAGTAGGACATGACCTCTAACTACAAGGAAAGAAAAGGTAAAAATCTAGGATTTCTATCATATTCCTAAATCAGAATTTAGATCTAGGCCTGCTTTCAAGACATACAAACCACAAGATTCACTTAACTTTAATGGGCCCTGTTTTTTCACATACAAAATGAAGGCATTAGACAAGATGTCCTCTGATATTTCCTCCAGCTTAATGTCAATTGTCCAGATTAAACAATATGCATAGCCTTGTCTCATAAAATTATACTCAAGTGAAATATTTTTTCTTTATTCTCTTGCTTAACCTTTTTAATACAATTATACCAAAATTATCTATGCTAGAAGATAAATATAAGAGAAATGACAGGGACATTTTCCACATGAGACTAATCCTTTCAAAGCTGGTAGCTTTAATTACATTTCCAGTATCAGCATTTTCATCCAGAAGGGAAGTTTCATTAAAGCTAATAGTTATTCAACTTAAGCACAGCATTTAAAAATGGGTATAATACATTTAGAATTTGCCTTCATACAACTTAAGATTTTATTTGTCTGATAAACATTATTTTGAGACATTAATCTCAAAATAATCCATTAAACACACAGGCCAGGTGATCAGTCCCTAAGTATGAATCAGGTATTTACTTCACCACAGGTACAATCCCCAGAATTATATTTAATGACTGGTATTTAAAACAATGTTTTCTGACTTGTGGCCAGACATATCCGGAGAAAGCAATCTAAAGGGTTTTCATTTTTTAAATCTTAAATTCCACATCATTTAGGTAAAGAAATAACTTAGTCATGGTACTGAATAAGCTCAATACATCATTACATTTTTGCTCAGTATTCTGAGGTATTTTTGTAATAGAACTAAAGAAGAGGAAAGACACTCTGTATAGTTTTTGAAAAGTACTTTAGTCAGATTCTGGTGGCCTCAACATCTTACAAATGAAGATGTGATGAAAACCAGGAGGGTTAAGACCCTAGTCAAGGTGATGTGGAAGACTGCATTTTCGCCACTATTTTTCAAACGACCTGCCTCTGTATTCTTAAAATATAAAGTCTAAATCTATGCCAAATGCTATTACAAATCTCATCAAAGTGTGCTATATTGCCCCAAGGCTTAAGCAAACTCAGTTTTTACTAATGTCCTTGAACTTGTAAAAATCTAACTGCACAACCATGAGACATTTTATACTTTCACAACTTAAAACAATGAGGACATTCAATCAAATATCATACTAGGTTACAGACCAATGATACTTAAATGACATATTTTTAAAAGTTAACATATTTGAAAAAAAAATTATAGATTTGATGACCATAAGAAAGTTTTCAAGTCTATGAGATGTAACAGAAACACAATCCAGAGCTGGTATATGGAATAAAATTGCCAACCAGCAAGCATATGGTAAGGTAAAGATCCAAATTCTGTCTCCACCAAGGAATCACCTGAGAACATTTTTTTCATTTATTTAACAAATGAATTTTTATTAAGACTCTAAAATATCCTGGGTTCTAGTATAAGCACTGGAGACGGACAGTTTAACAAGAAGAATAAGATCCTATTCTCATGAAACTTACATCAGAGTGACAATAAACAAGTAAAATGTCAGATAATGATACATGTTATGGAGAAAATGTTATGAATGGTTATAAGATAAAGAGTGACTGGGTAACAATTTACTGGCGTGAAGACCTCATTAAGGAAGTAATTTTTTAGCTAAGTTTAAAATGACAAAAAGGGATCTACCATCATTAAGATTAGAACAGAGTATTCCCAACACAGAGAGCAGCATGTGTGAAGACCCAAATCAGGTACTAGCTTGGTAGGTTTGAGGAAGCTGAAGACAGACATGTGTTTGACACAGTAATGAAGGCAAGAATGAAGTGAGGTCAGAGAGAGAGGGAGACCAGATCATGTAAGACCAGAATAGGAGTCTGGACATTTTATAGTTATAAACCTGCTAAATTTGGAAAATCTAGAACTATAGTAGTATTAATTATGCTTTTTAGTTATCAGAATTTGGAATATGATGAATTTCAATGTACAAACACAGGGGTTTTACCAGTCATTTGTTTCATTTAGTTTGATTTTTAACCTTGGCAAAGTAACCTGAGTTAGTATACAATATTATAATTTCAAATTACATTTTCCTTCAAATATAATCAATTGATAAGAATATTAGTCTGGGAAGGGAAGTGAAGCAGTCAAAGTATAGTTTAAGTGCTGTTATTCACTATGTACTAGGTGGGCATCTATAATAAGAAACTGAGCTACATGGCTTTTAAGCTGCCTTAGAGCTACATTAAAATTTTAATTTACTTTATCTTTATTTTAATCAAGATAGTGGTTTTCAAACCCTGAATTCCTACAAATCCTTCATGCTTGATAGTATTATAATTACTAATTTACTTCTGCCTATCCCCAGCCTCTCACTCTCTATCCTAAGCTTGTTGACAGATAAGGACTATCTTTTTTCTTTCTGTTCGAGACAGGGTCTCACTTGAGTTGCCCAGACTGAAGTGCAGTGGCGCGATCTTGGCTTACCACAGCCTCAACCTCCCAGGCTCAGGTAATTTTCCCACATCAGCCTCCAGAGTAGCTGGGACTACAAGTGCGCACCACCACACCCAGCTAGTTTACTTTATTTGTATTTTTAGTAGAGACAGGGTTTTGCCATGTTGCCCAGGCTGGTCTCAAACTCCTGAACTCAAGTAATCTGCCTGCCTTGACCTCCCAAGGTGCTGGGGTTATATGAATGAGCCAATGCGCCCGGCCAGGATTGTCTTTCATAATTATGAATACTTACGCCAGGAAATTTTAGCTTTCCTTTATATAGTATGTTGTTTACAAGGAATCTGTTTTTAAACCTTACTGGTTCTCTTTAAAAAAAAAAAAAAAGAAAAAAGAAAACTATACCTATCTGTTTTGCAGCATGTAATATATCTTTTAAGTCTTCATTTATACTTTGCATTTTACTCTTCTCCAGTTTTTCATTCAAAAATTTTATTATCTTCTTCCATGTCAGGCCCAAATCTAAACCTTGTTCATGAAGTTTAGATCGTTTTATCTGAAATAAGAGATCATAATGTAGAAAAATACTGCTTAAAGTTCTTCTTAACTCCAACACTGATTACATATATTTTGCATTACATTATACAACTTGGTACTACCCACAAGAATTCAAAGTTGTATCTATTCACATCCAAACTGACTACTCACAAAACAATTTTCCTTAAATGGGTTTTCATAGATTCTCATTTGTTTAAAATATATGTTTAATAAAAGCTTCTTTTTACAATTTTAATTACACTGCATACTGACAAAATCATTTCATACAGCAAAGTAAAAAGTTCAACATCCAGATAATATTATTATTATTATTGATAACATCACACGTCTTGCCATTTTTCTAATTGCTTGTTTTTAATACAGCTTAGACTATACTGTATATAAATCAGAGCTTTATGTCATGCTTTTTAATGAAACGCATTTATAGAAAATTAGACTCCCATGATAGGGTCAAATATATTCAAGTCAGCATTACTTTCTTAACCATGATCCTAGACCAGGTGAGGCATTTGGAAGATTCTTTTTTATACACACTCTTTTCTATTAGGTGGCTTAAACAAGAGAAATTTATTTTCTCACAGTTCTGGAGCTACAAGTTCAAGATCAAGGTGTTGGCAGGTTTGGGTTCTTCTGAGGCTTTTGTATATTTGAGACTACAGATCTTTCCATTCTCAAGAACTGACCACAGAACACAATAAAAATTTTATTTCAGACCTCTGGCTTTGATCCACAGAGAAAACTCATGAAGCTTTCAAACCAAATGAAAAAGTAGTGGGTCAGGTAGAAAGCAGTAATTTTACTATTGGTTAGAATGATGAAAATGCATAATTCACCATTACTTCCCTGCCTCCATTTTTTAATTTCAAATGAGATTAGTCATTCTGAGTTTAGGGAGAGGAGAATGGGCAAAGGTAGAGATGAAACAAGATTGGCCATAAAATGAATTAAGTTGTTACAATGGAGTCATAAGCACATTAAGGTTTATCTTATTTGTCTCTTTACTTTTGTATACATTGAACAGCTTCTGACATAAAAAGTTATATTGAAATGAAGTTCATCATTACTGTGTCAAACACATGTCTGTCTTCAACTTCCTCAAACCTACCAAGCTAGTACCTGATTTGGGTCTTTGCACATGCTGCTTTCTGTGTTGGGAATACTCTGTTCTAATCTTAATGACGGTAGATCCCTTTTTGTCATTTTAAACTCAGCTAAAAAAATTACTTCCTTAATGAGGTCTTCATGCCAATAAGCTGTTACCCACTCTTTATCTTATAACCATTCATAACATTTTCTCCATAACATGTATCATTATCTGATTAAGTTAAAATAAAGCCATTAGGATGGGACTTAATTATCTGATAGATCTTGTAACAAAATTTAGACACATAAAGAGACACCAGGGATATGCTTGTGCAGAGGACAAATCATGTGAGGACACAGCAGGAAGGCTGCCTTAACTGCAAGCCACACAGAGAAGCCTCAGAAGAAACCAAGTCTGCCAGCACCTTGATCTTGGACTTCTAGCTCCAGAACTATGAGAAAATAAATCTTTGCTGTTTAAGCCACCTAATCTGTTATTCCTAATTTTGTTATCACCTAATTTTGTTATTCTCTGCAAACTAATATACCACATTCAGAGACATTTCTAAGAATCTTTCCTATTTAAGTATCTTATAAGTACATGTCTAGAATTTTCTGGAAGTCTTGATAACATATACTTTTAATTTTTCCATAACATTAAACTTGTAACTACGTATGTAATTTATTTTATACCTTTATAAGACTTATATAAGTTTATCCATCAGAAGAAATTACTTGCCAAACCTCATGCCCTAATTTGCAATTCAGAAAATGTAGTCATTGAACCTATACAGGAAAGAGACTGAAGAAGTTCCTTTGATAAAACAAAAATGATCTTCCAAAGTAATAATTGCCCATTTCTGACCTAGTGAGATCTACCTATATTTGCAGGAAGGGTAACATTAGCATTATTTATTATAAAATTAACTCATATAAGGAAATTTTCCATACCATAATTACTAAAGCAGGGGTCAGTCTTTACTATAAATGTCAAAGCAGTCCTTGTACATTTAATTTTTGTTTCTTACTAAAATGTATTTCTGAATTTTACTCATAAAGTAGCTTTTAAATTAACAATGTTTCTTAAGTCTTAAACACCTTTCTTACCAATTATAATGACAAGTCATTTTAATGAGATCAACCTCTGAGTTCAAGAGATTAATATTCATATTTCTCATAAGGTACAGACACTGCTTTTGTTTATTTGGTAAGAATTTTACCAGAGACCTAAAAACTTACTCAGATAATGCAGAGGTAAATTACAGGATTAAGTTACAAATGTAATTGTGGTAGGGAACTGAACAAAAGAAAAATTAACAAAGGATTCAATTATCATAGTTCTGATTATTCCCCTTGACAATATGGTTTTAGGTGCTAAATGTAAGTATTCCCATAGGAAACAGCAGCATACACATTCTCCATCTTTGTCTCACACCAAACAAGATAAAACTTCCATGTTAAACACATAGAATAGAGAAAAAGAATGTCAAATAGTTGTCCATAGTCTATTTATAATAATGTTCAACATTTCTACCTTTAACACATCTACCTTTAAGTCAGCCACTTCTTCATTATAATTATCCTGCTTGGTGACATTTGAAAAGGAACGCAAGGCTCCTGTGAGACGAGGTAAAGCCATCTATTATTCAATCAGTGATCCATACAAGAAGAAACCTGAAACTGAAATGAAACAAGATGATATTTATCTGTTCAGAAGAGGTGGCAGAGGTAATCAAACTCAACAAATTAGCCTGTACCAGAAAAAAGAAAAGAAAAAAAAATAATTAAAAAGCAATGGTAATCAACGTTGAAAAATTCTCCTGACATATTTTCTATACATGAAGTTTTTTTGTTTGTTTTTATAAAGCATTAGCTATGGTTGGAGAAAGGAAAAAGAAACAAACATTTCCTCAAAACTGCGTTCTGTAGATTCCCAAGTACAGGCCTCAAATACTATATTACTACTGCCAATAATATTGAAAGAGATGAAACCACTTGTTCATCTTTTTCCCTAATTTTGTTTTATGCTCACTGATTTCAAATTACACCACTTTCCAGTGGTTTCCTCAGCTTGGAACGGTTTCCCTTGATGTTGCTATAGCTGGCTTCACACTGAACTCTTGGCTTAAAAGATGCCTCCTAAGATGGAGCCTTTCCTGACCACCCCATCTAAAACAGGTGACCCAGTCACTGTCTACCAAAGCCCAAAATTTTAATTCTCTTTATAGCATTAAGTAATATTTGACACTTTCTTGTTTATTTACTAATGCATGTGTTGTTTCACCCCACAAAAAGTAAGCTTCATGACAGAAAGACCTCTTAATTTTACTAATCTCCCCAGCATATAGACAACAGAACCAGAATATTTTTGGTACTCAATAATTATCTGTTAATGAATAAATGGAAGACAAATGAAGAAAAGGCAAAAATGGTAATAGACTCAACAACAGGCCAGAAAAGAAAACAGCTGATGAGGGGGAAGAAAATACAGGGAAAGAGAGAATTCAGATGGCCTGGTCTAATCTCCTCCTTAACAGGCTGATGACTAAACAATTTCTAGGCAAAAAGATTAATAATATTTACTATTAGGAGAGTGGTGATCTATGAAAGACTCTTGGAGGACTGTACTAGTTTAAGATTGCTTATTATAACACAACTACTATCTACAGATTTATAAGGCATGGCTCCCTGAAGAATGTCACATAAGCTATGTAAGTCTTTAAAACATCCCAGCTAGGAACGATTTTGCCCCACATGGGACATCTGGCAATATTTTAGATATTTTGGTTGTCACAACTATCAGGCAGGTGGAAGGGGACTACTGGTTTCTAGTGGATAGAGGCCAATGATGCTACTAAACATACGATACAGAGGACAGTTCCCCAACAACTAAGAATTATCTACGCCAAAATGTCCAATGTGGAAAGGAAAGAACTGAGAAAGGGAAGACAGACAGAATGTCTCAGACTATTCTCTGCTCCTGCTGTTCCTCTTGATTACTGTATTCCTGAAGTTATCAAAAAGGGTAATACTTGGAAAAATCTCCAACCTATATATTAGAATAATCAGATACAAAATACTTATCTATAATAACTATAATAGAATTTTTTAAATAATGAATAATAAAATACAAGTAGGATGATTTGAAAATGTAACTTTTAGAAATAAAAATATATACTTGTTAAATTTTAAAACAATCAACAGATGGGTTAAACAATAGCTAAAAATAAAAGTGATAACCTGGAAGAGACTTGAAGAAATAACCCATGCATGATGTCACAAACAGACTAAGTACAAATAATGCAGGATAAATAAAAACAAATGGAAATATGTCAATAATCATAATAAATACAAATTAAACTTACCTCTCAAAAGACTGACAGTATGAACTGCAAAACAACAAAGAAGTAAAACACTAGGGCTACACCGAAAACATAGGAAAGGAAAGGCTGAAAGTTAAGGGATAGGATAAGATCTTCCTGCAAATAACCAAACGTAGCTGGTGGTTATATCAAAAATATCAGATCAGACAAAATTGGCTTCAAAACAACAGGTGTTCGGGAGGAATTAAAAAAAAACTCTCTACATAATAAGATAAAGCTCACTAAGAAGACTTAAAAGTTCTGAATTTGTATGCACTGCTAGGATAGTCTTAAAATAAAACAAATAGACCTCAAGGAGAAAGTGACAAGTCTAACATCAAAGTAAAAGTTTAAAGACCTCAATTATTGACAAGTCAAGCCAACCTTCCCTCCAAAATAAAAAATCAATAAAGATATAGAGAACCTGAAGAGTACAATTACTAAGTCTGATTTAATGAACAAATACAGAAACCTGAACTTGATTTTTAAAAATGCATATTCTTCTGAAGTACACTTGAACAGTTTCAAAAATCATCTAGGTATACTCAGCCATAAAGCAAGTCTCAACAAATTACAAAGAATAAGTGTCATATAAGTCAGAAGTTAGTAAACTTTTATGCAAAAAGAGAGTAGTAAAAAATTTAGGTTTAGGCCAGGTGTGGTGGCTCATGCCTAATCCCCCCACTTTGGGAGGCCGAGGCGGGCAGATCAGCTGAGGTCAGGAGTTTAACACCAACCTGGCCAACATGGCAAAACCCCATCTCTATAAAAATACAAAAATTAGTCAGGTGTGGTGGCAGGCACCTGTAATCCCAGCTACTCAGGAGGCTGACACATGAGAATTGCTTGAACCTGGGAGGCAGAGGTAGCAGAGAGCCGAGATGGCGCCAGTGCACTCCAGCCAGGGTGACAGAGTGAGAATCCGTCTCAAAAAAAACAAAAAAAAAATTAGGTTTAGCAAGCCACATGCAGTCTCTGCCATATATTCTTTCCTTTTTTAAAAAATGACACTTTAGAAGTGTAAAACCCATTCTGGGGCTCAGGGTGACCAAATCTGTTTACTGATCCCTGATAAGAGGTCACATTCTTTGAGCAAAATAGTTAAGATTACAAATCAAAAACAAAAAAATGAGGTATTAAAAACAAACATGATTGCACTACAGATCAGTAAAGAACTGGTATGAGGACAGTTGGGGAAAAAAACAGTTGGACTCTCTACATCACACTGGAAAATTTTAAACAGAGAAGTCAAATGATCCAACTTACAAATAAACTTCCAAGTTAGCTGACTTCAGATTTCAACTACCTGCTGGGAGTGAATTCAGGAAAGCATGGAAATAAGATGATTCAGGGAATCACATCTGGATTTTTCTCACACTAGATAACATACTTCCTGGAGCATGTGGAAGAAAAAAAAATGAAAGCAAGAGTCAGTGGACAGTACAGAGCAGAGATTCTCAAATTTTATTATATAGTGAAACTACCTGGAGGGCTTCTTGAAAAACAAACTGGCTGAGCCCTACCACCTTACTCCCTTCACCCCAATATTCCAATTCAGCAGATCAGATGGCACTGAGATGAGATTTGAGAATTTACATTTCCAGCAAGTTTGCAGATGATGCAGCAGGTCAAGGATCGTAGTTGAGAACCACGGTCTTAGAGATGATGTCTTTTCTTCTTTTTTTTTTTCTTTTGAGACGGAGTCTCGCTTTGTCGCCAAGGCTGGAGTCAAGTGGCATGATCTCGGCTCACTGCAACCTCCACCTCCCAGATTCAAGCAATTCTCCTGCCTCAGCCTCCCGAGTAGCTGGGATTACAGGCGTGCGCCACCATGCCTGGCTAATTTTGGTATTTTTAGCAGAGATGGGGCTTCCATGTTGGTCAGGCTGGCTTCAAACTCCTGACCTCGTGATCCACCCGCCTCGACCTCCTAAAGTGCTAGGATTACAGGTGTGAGCCACCATGCCCAGCCAATGTCTTTTATTCTTAAATCACCATTTAATTTTGTCTCAAGCCAATAATGGCCAAGGGAGAAATTCATCTATTAAGAAATCCAGCCAGGAAATCAAGCCGGGTGGATCACTTGAGGCCAGGAGTTTGAGACCAGTCTGGTTAATATAGTGAGACCTCCAACTCTACAAAAAAATTTTTCAAAGCCAGGCAAGTGGCATGTGCCTGTAGTCCCAGCTACTCAGGAGGCTGAGGTGGGAGAATTGCTTGAGCCTGGAAGGTCAAGGCTGCAGTGAGCCATGATCGTGCCACCGCACTCAGCCTGGGTGACAGAAATCCATGGCCTGAATTCAGTGCATAGCCTGGTTCCTACCAGCCTTTCTCAACTGGGGTCTGTAAGAGAATACAAGTCTCTTAATGAAAGTAACTTGACTTTTTCTCAGTTCTCCCAAGAATTATACAGAGTATGTATGTATGTTGTACATGTCATCCATAGAGAGGAAGTAAGGTATACAATGGATACCAAAGCATTGGGGTTTTAATTTTCTACCCACACTGAGACATTGCAAAAATGTATTCAAGATGACTAAATTTAGTCAAGTCTTTAAAGAAAGGCCCTGATAGTAAACTAAACATACTCTGCCTCAGAACCTACCTTTTACCACACAAGTTAGTGCTTTCAAAATCTAGCATCAGAACAAGAAACATGATGTATTAATACTGTGCCTCAGGCATGGTATTACAAATTAATGGGGTACTTGGGACCACTACTTTCACCATTTTTATATACATCACAGTAATGTCCTGAATCCTCTGTGCCTTTCTTTTTTTAAAAAAGTAGAAAGCGGGACTCCATTTTTATTCTAACTCACAAACCTAGTAAATCCTAACAAGATAATACACTCAACCTCTAAGAAGAGATCTAATATTAGGATTCGGTAATGAGGTCACATTGTTACAAACTACAGTAACTGAAAACTTTAAAGCTCCCTGAGATCTGAGTAGAAAAACAAAGGGGGGATCATGGCAGACAGGAGGCAGGACTAGACTGCAGCTCCCACTCTTGACAGAGCAGTGTGTGGAGTCTTGCATCGTAAACTCTTGCTCCAGAGCGACAGCACGAATAAATCAGGAAAGCCAAGAGAACCCACAGACCTTCTGAAGAAAGCAGATTGCTCCTGCAGGACCCAGGATACACTCCAAATACTGTGCTGGCATCCATGACTGAGACCCACAGATGGTTTACATCACAGGACTCTGTGCAGACAACCCCCAGTACCAGCCCAAAGCCTGGTAGACCTGCCGAGTGGCTAAATCCAGAAGAGAGATAACAATCATTACAGCTTGGCTCTCAGGAAGCCACATCCC